GAGTTGGTCAGTTCCACGACCAGAAAAAAGCCACATTGCTCATTCTCTATCTGAGGTTCAACTATCGACCAGACTCTCCTCTCCAGTACCTTGGAGTAGACCATTCCCATGAGGCTGAGGAGTGTGATCCCCCTACAGTTGGAACACGACTCTGTAATTAAATTAAAATGTATTAAATCACTCTTTGTGAGATTCTGTAGTTTATGTAAACATGGACAGCAAATTAACATTAGTGTCTTTGTCAAAATGTTTGTTCATGATTAACCAGAAAACACCAACAAGAAATGTGAGCCTATTCTATTGAGTATGTGCAATAAATAAAACACTGATGTATGAAACACATGTTTTAGCTGGTGCAGTGTTTGGTAAATTGAGCACTTTAAGAGCTCAATATATATTACCTCTACTTATGACTAATAAGCTGTGATACTCTGTCTAAATATAGAACTCTGCTTGGTGTTTACGTGTTTAATCAGAAGATTCTAGGATTCTTTAGGGGATTGTACACACTTCGTTTTTATTCAGAAAAGAGTCAGGTTTATAAAAGTAAGAATTTATTTGACCAACAATTAAAACATGACAAGTTAACTAAGCATTTACTGTGATGATGGAACTAGATGTGATGTATGAAACCTATGTGTGAATGCGATGTCAGTCAGAACTTCCTTATCTAGGAGAGCTGAGTTCTGGATGTAAAAGAATTTGGTTTGCGCTAATCTATGAGTTGATTATTATCAAAACACATCAGACGCTATCTGTGTGTCTACATCACCCGTTCTCGAAGACCCTCTTGGTGAATCCGAAGGTCAGTGAGGTCGGCTAACCTCTGGCACCGGAGGGCTGTAGAATACCGTGGCACCGACGTTTCAGTCCAGAGATGTCTCGGGTCACGACAGATGGATGGCACCGCCCGTCTGGGACTCTGAAGGAGTTTAAACAATATCAACTTGTTCTGCAGGAACTGTTGCTGTATCAGCTTTGCAGGTGCAAAAAGATTTTGACAACGTGTCAAAAGCTTTGATGGGTTAAAGAGATGTTGTTTCAACTGGCCGGTCTGAAACTTTCTCTAGAACTAAGAGATCACCCAGAGTGATCCGGTTTTAAGGATCTCATGTTATGATTTGGGTAGCCAACCAGAGGTTGACAGGTTTGAGAAACGTTACCAAGAAACTCAGAAACATGCCGTCTTTGATACGGAGGCTCTGGCGGGGTAAAAGACTATTAATGTGTCAGAGTTTAACTTAACCTTACTTTGTTTTTGTGTGAGTGCAAATGGTGATGACCTTGCCATATAAACAACATAGCATTCATTTCAAGCTTCAATCATTAAGCACAGATTAATGACACATTTCATTATATTACAATTATAAGTAGCAACAAACAAATGTTTATTTAATGATCATCTAGATTATAAGTTGTAGAAGTTCATATCTGATTTAGGAAATCATTCTTTGACTTAGCAACTGATCCGAGCTGGAGTGTTCCTTATATGGAGGCATGAAGACCTGAAAGATTGGACCTTGAGGAGAGAATGTTATTGTTGACATGCCGTTATCTGTTCAGAGCTGCAGAGACTCTGAGCTCCAGCTGATGGGATGAAGGCAGGCCAATTTAAAGGGGACATGTTCAGTCTTGTGTCTCCTTTTTTAACCAGATGTTGAATGGTCAAACTGTACCTAAAAACTGACCATTGCTGGATGTTACACTGGTTTAATCAGTGGGGCACTCCAAAAAACAGGAGCGAGACTTGACAACACAGGCAGCCAGCCACTTTATAAGGTACGATTCCTGAAATATAACCCAGAACAGGACCACTGACGGCCCTCTAACACCGATGGGAACTTTCAGACTTGGAATTTGTACCCACTGGAAGTTTTTCTTATTCATCTCAACATAAATGTTCGCAGTGGATCAGGAGTTGCTTTTATAAAATGTTATTTTTATCTGCATCAACCCCTAAGCCCAGCCCCAACCCTGTCAAGCATTCCTGAAGTCTTTGGTTCTTTGTTGTGACTTTGTTCAAATTCAGTTGAATTCATTTCAAATTCAAAAATACTTTGTTAATCCCAGAGGGAAATTCAATTGTTTCAGTACACACAATTCTGAGATCAGACATACATACATGGACACATGACAAGAATTGGTGACTGTGGTCATTCACAACATGAGTCGCGCCACCGTTATAGATCAAGAGGGTTTATGTGAGGATAGAGTTAGGCAGGGGAAAAAAGGCACTTCAGAGTTACCCCTGACAGAGAGGATAGCTTTGCTATGCAAAAAATAAAATAAAAAACACCTCAGACCAATATGCACACAGACTTCAGACGATACACAACATAAGTGTCCACTAGGTGGGGAGGTAGGGTTGGGACTCTCCTCACTTCAGGGCGTGCAGACGCAAGAGCAGCGCTCATCACCTCCGTTTGGACAGGGGAGGGAGATAATGGGTTAGAGAGCACATGGACTCCTAGATACGGTTCCACGGCCTTCACCGATCACAGTCCCGCCCAGGCTGGGATAGGGAGAAAGGGTTTCCATAGCGACGGCAGCATTCCACATTTCTTCTGAGGGGGGAGTTTTCACTTCAGCCTCACAGGCTCCAAGGGCACCAGATTCAGATAAGAATTGTTTTGGGTACAGGCAGGAATAATTTCCTCTCTGCCTTAGAGTTCTGTTGGTCTTCAACCCCTCCAGGTCCAATAATGGTGTAATTAATCGATCCCAATCCATGCTGATCCGTCCACAACTCTGTCCTTGATGGAATCCACTTTCTGTGCCAGAGCCTGAATCTCAGCCAAAGTTCCAAGCTTACAACTCATCTCGACAATTATATGAGTCTGTGAGTTCACAGTGCGATGGATTCCATCCCTGAGCTCTGGGATTAAGCCAATATTCCTCAAAAGCTCGTTAATTTTCCGGTACGCCAGGTAACCGCTCAGGCCAAACAGCAGGAATCCCGACACCAAAACGACAAATATCCAAACATCTTCAAAATCCTCTACAGACAGTTGAGAGGCAGATCAGGTTCCACTGTTTCCAGGAGTCCATGATATGCCCAGCTGGCTCTGTCCCAGAGGGGCATCCGGGAGCCCCTTCTCCCGTTCTCATCGTTGAAAAAATGTTGTCAATTGCGTTGAGAGACCAACTGACCAGATCTATGTTTAATAATTTCCAGTTTCCAGAAAAAATGCAGAAAGCGCCGTGCACAGGCAGACAGGACAGAAAGCCTTGGGAGAAGGAGGGAGGGAGAGGAGAAACAAGTGTGTCCTCTCCAAGAGCCGGAAGAAGACTGAAGAAATGTAAAGAGATTGTAAATTAAGATCGTTATTGTCTCAGTTGATATACTGAAGCTGGGCTCTCTGGAATAGGATTTCATTATTAAACTGGTTGGTTAATGTATTGTTTGCTTGTTTGGCTTAATCCATATTTGCATCTTCCTATTAACCTTGTCTTGGTTAATCTGTAGCTCCATCATGATCTTCATGCCTCTAGTTACCTCCATGCTCATGTGGTCACAAAAGGATTTTCATTTTGTGTTAAAGTCATCTTTACACTTTTTACAGACTACAGCCATCTGGGACTTTGGTGTCTTTCAATAAGCGTTGCACCAACGTTAATTATTTTCAAGGTTTTTCAAGGTTCAAGGTTTGAAGGATCCATGAACCCTTGGAGTGAGCAGCGACCTTCACCAAAGGCAGATCTCGTAGAAGTCTTTGATGAAGGCCAAAGAGATTTTTGGATCTTTAAATGTTGCATGGATGTTTGTGAATCAGCATATATGTGCCTATCTCATACTTACATCACCCGGGTGGATTAGTTTCCACTCTTGCAAACACCAACATCTGTGAGATTTTAGGCAGACAGATGTGTGGCTCAATCATCAGACATCTAATTCCCATATAAGTGAATCAGTCTGGCAGGAGTAGTCAACTTGCAGAAACATCTGAAAAAGCTCTGATTGGATTAGAGTTCAGTTGTAACAGAGGATCTGAAGCCAAATTCTTCGTAAACATATGGAGCAAAATGGGAAGATTTACTTTGGGGTAGAAAAATGTTAATTTTAAAATAATTGATTGAAATGTGGAAAAGTTTAAGAGTCCTGGCTAATTTTGCTTTCAACACGGCATTTGTCATTTGTCTGTTCTTCAGAAGATTCTTATGAGAAAATCCATTTAAATATTATATTATGTAAAACAGATGTTTTTAAGAAAGAAAAAACTGTTTGCTTTTTCATCTAGTAGAATACGTAGACCAACCTCAACAAGGTGTTGATCTGCAGGTTATATACAAAAATATAAATCACACACACACACACACACACACACACACACACATATATATATATATATATATATATATATATATATATATATATATATATATATATATATATATATATATATATATATATATATACCCGGGTATATATATATATATATATATATATATATATATATATATATATATATATATATATATATATATATATATATACCCGGGGATGTGTGTGTGTGTGTGTGTGTGTGTGTGTGGTCTGCTATAGAAAAAGCCCTTTTATCCTAGTTTTCACGGGAACAAAAAGTAAAAAATATATCTTACAGCAAGTTGCAACATGTCTCATAGGTTTTGCTTCTCATGCACACAAGATTAAGAAGAGGAAAAGTCGAGTCTGAGGGTTTGATTGTTCTCATAATTGCTCCTTCCTTGGAGTGAGTTACTAGAAGGTTGATGTTCTGGTAAAAACACATCGGTGGTTTTGGAACCACACTTCAAATATCGTAGGTTGGGGAGTAAAACCCCTGCACAGATGAAAAAGAGAGTTGTTCATGTTTATGACCGTTAGAGGGTAAACGTTCTGCGGATTTTCAGAGCTCGCATAGGTCCTGGGAAACAGAAAACGTCTTTTAATTGGCTGAGGTTGGAGGTAAGTCTTGGTTGTTTGATTATTTCCCTCTAATTTCTCTCTCGCCTTCGCGATGTCCTCCAGGCGCCAGCTGACCGGGACACTGCAGCGGGATGGAGTCCCTCTTCAGCTGGTCACACTGTTGCTCCCTGACCGACGGCCAGTCAGAAAGAAACCTGCTGCTACCTTGAGGGAATGCACAGTGCGCGCGCGTATGAGTTAAAGGCAGAGCGATAGGGAGAGAGGGGGTTGCCTAAACAGACGCAGCAGCAGACGTGCCCGCTGCCGTCTGCCTGTTTCACTCTCCCGACAGCAGCGCTTTGACGCACCACGCAGAGTTGGACTAGAGTGTTGCGCGCTGGACTCTCACGGCTTTTCCCTCTCATTCTGACTGCACTCTTGCCATCGACCTCTAATTGATTTCTGCCTCTAATTGGGATCAATAACTCCCCAGCACGGTGACATCTGCTGAGTTTTCCAGGAGGAACCAGCCCTGCCGCTGCGCCGGACGCGTGTGGTGAATTAATAACCAACACAGCCTTACCTGGAGTGTGTGTTTACACACCAAGCGTATGTGACTGGAAGATTTTTTGTTGGATCTTCTCTGGGTGCTTTACTGTCTTGGATTCACGCGCTCGTGTTTCCACACACAGCACACGTCGGGAGGACCCGGGCACCGCATGCCGGGGGCATGTGGAAGTTTGCGCCGCTGTAGCGCACACAGAGAGCCCCCTCCAGCTCACTGGGGACCAAACTCTGGGTTCACACATTAAACCCACCGAAGGGCCCAGGTGTAAATTATTCTGTAATATATAGAAGCACGCAAATGGAAAGGAGGGACGAGTTTTGGGTCTGTTTTTAAAGAGGGCTCGGGATCTTGTTTCGTGAGTTTGCTCAGGTCCTTCGGGAATCTTCTTCTTTGTAACGACCTTGTTCGTTGTTCGGGTCTCACATTGACCCTCCACTTGCCGCAGTGATGGTGGGAGCTCTGCGCCCCATCGCCTTTGGACGCTCCTTGGGGACTGCGCCAAGGCTGCTGGTGACCGTATTGGTCTTGGTCCTGTTTGGCGGAGCGGACGGGCAGCCCTGCCCGGCCCAGTGTTCCTGCACCGGGACCACAGTGGACTGTCACGGCCAAGGGCTGCGCAGCGTGCCCAGGAACATCCCCAGGAACGCGGAACGGTTGTAAGTGTTCTCCAAACTCTTCTACTGCATTGTAGAAATAATTGATTTTAATTCCTGTTTAAGTGATGCTAAATAACGTTCTAATAGTTCGTTCTAATCCTACAGGATGCTAGAAGGATTAAATAATTATTATATGGCGTCAGTATTAAAATCTATGAATTTACTTTATGAGATGAAAGTGTTTCCAACAAGCCAATGGAACATGAATGACTTAAATACCTCAAACATTGTTGCAGGTTTAATAAAAACACAATAAAATCAGCCTTTAATTTTCATTTATTAACGTTTTCTAATCAGCATGAAAACAGGATTTATTACTGCTGGTGTGTTGGGAGCCAGGGCGCGTGAGAAGTTGGCGGCGGCTGCTGCTGCTGGTGGTTTCGCGCTGTTGCTTCAGCACAGCCTCCGTAGACCACATCGGTTTGTCTGGAGACCAGCAAGCTAATCAAAACCGGATTTGGACAAGTGGGTTTCGACTTAAACAGGATGGGTTGTTACCAGACAGAGACCCTGAGGGGAAGGTTTGCAGCAGCAGCAGCAGCGTCTCTGTCACTCAAATCACAAATTAGACTGAAGTTACAACCAAAAGCCAGTGGCGTAGCCAGAAACGTTTCTTGGGGGATCAGTGAATATTTGGGGTGGCACACAAAATAGCTCTGTTTGTGAGCGTTTAGCCAGGGGCAATGACCTCCATGCTGCTTTATTCGGTTTCATTAATTGTGAAACATTATGCATCCAACATTTCAGCTATTATTTTAAAATGTTTTAAAAGGTTTTGCTTTAGCATGTTAGAACAGTTCAACTTGTCTTTTGCTGTCAAGAAAATCACCCACAAAAACTGTAAACATTTATACTTGTCTGTGAAAACGGTGAGCCTCAATGACATTGGTTGAAATTATGATTTATTTTATGTTTATGTCATGATGATAGAAGATGAATGTGTGGTTTGTGTGAACATGAAAATGATTTATTGAAGGGGGATGTTTTCCCAGGGGTGCCCTCCCCCCCAAACCCCCCCACCCGGTCACTCCTTGAGGGTGCCACTGAAAAAAGAAGCATCCATTTCTTGTTTTTATTCGTATGATTACACGTACTGCCAGTACTAACTCCCACACCCTCTCTCTGTTTAGGGATCTGAATGCAAACAACCTCACTAAAATCACCAAGACAGATTTTTCAGGACTGAAGCATCTTCGAGTCTTGTGAGTATACATTTCATTTGATTGTTTTATTTTCTTGATTTTACTTATTTCACAAGTGCAAAGAGGACGCTCACCTACAGCTATCACAAGCACCCGCTCTGCGTAAACCTCTACCCACCCCCTTCAAAAAAGATTACAGCCAACCACAACACAGAGATTGAACTGTTTCCCATCGTGTTCTGCAGAGTGCGTCCATCCTCTAAACCACTCCGAGCCTTTACAAAGAAAGAAAGAGCAGCACTCTGGCACCTGTTAATGCCGTCGTGTTAATCTGCCAGTGGAAGTGTCAGGCGGGGCTTATTTTAAACATTAGGCCCCGGGGCCCATGTGCTGGAGTGATTAACACGCTGGCGAGGAAATGATGGAGGGCAAGAATGGAAAGAGATAGCGGTCATTTAGGTGTAACCGTGGAGGGAGGAATGCAGCTGCAGGGAGAGAGGGAGAGGAGGAGGGAGGGAGGAATAGGGAGAGAAAGGAGAGTCAAGTAGGAACAGGTTTCCGTACCTGAGATCAATCCTGGTCCTGAGTTCCCCTTGCTGTGTGTGTGTGTGTGTGTGTGTGTGTGTGTGTGTGTTGGAATTCCTGTTGAGATTATATCCTTAATTAGGTTTGTGTTGTATTTGGATGTCTAAGTACTTTCAGTAAGACTTTTTGTTGCATTATCAGCTGATATCACTTTTATTTTTCAGGACAAAATTCAGTTTTTTGGTGAATGATCTCATCAGAATCAGAATTGAGTTTCTACATCAGATGGATTTGAAGTAGTAGTTACCATTATGATTATGTATTGGTTATTACATCTACTTCTACATTAGATAAAATTGTCTTGTTGACCTGATGCAGAATAGTTGACACATTAAAAATACTTAAACATTATACACACTTGCTATTCATAAGAAAAGAAAATGGTGTGTTTGATCCAAGGAAAGCTTGTTCTGATGAGCGATGTACAATGCATCCTGAGAGTAACCCCCCCCCCTCCCCCAGTCAAACTTCATCTGGGCCAACTGCGGGACGTTTTCACATGGCAGAGGTGGTTTATCTGTCACAGACTTGAGCATTTCACACTAGTGGGTGACAGTGACCAAATTTGAACTAAGGCAGCACAGAAGCTGCAAACAAAACCTATTATTAGAAGTAATGACATCCGTGATAATTAGGGATGCACCGATGGATCGGCATTTGATCGTAATCGGCCGATAGCGCCCCTAGTGTAGCGGTAAACCCCGGTAAAAAAAAAAAGTTGACAATAATAATAACCGTCTTGTTTTTTAAAAAACTATATTATCTTGGTGGGTTTACCGTGGCTGCAGTGTAGGCGCTGTGACCCTTACCAGCCACCGTATCATCGGCTGAAGTTGCTGGCGGCACATGCGCACTTTGTTGTTTACAACCAAAACTTTCTTGAAGCTAAAGCTGAAATAATGGCCAAAGGAGGAGACGGCAGCGCTCAGGACATTTATTATCCCTCAAAGAAGACAAAGCGGGAAGTACGGGCATGTTTTGGATATCTGAAGAATGCTGAGGGACAGTTTATAGAAGACGGCTATCCTGTTTGCAGCACGTGCAGAAAAAGTGTCTGTGAAAGGCAGCAACGCTTCAAATCTCGTGACACATCTGCGTGACCATCACCCACAACTCTACAGTCAACACAAGGCAAGCTAACGTTAGCGTTTTAGCTAAAATGCGTGATCCGAGGATTTGGGTTGAGGGAGAATGCAACGAGTCGCTATATAAAGCAGCCGCAGCGCCGCTACCTGCATATAAACCGTGTCGCGGACACCCCCATGTTGAAATGACGCTATGCATTACGGGGCTCCCAGGGGCAGATAAGAGTTGGTCTCTCTCCGAGAATAATTATGAATTTAACAATGATTACTGCCTGATGACATTTTCCCACATCTGCAAAGCTCACTGGAAGGACACAAACCGAGCACGATATTTTCCTGATATAGGGTTTATTACTCAAGTAAGGGTAAAAAAGTATCTGATTAGAAGGCTACTTGAGTACTGAGTATCATCTGATCTAATACTTTTAAAATGATGACATCAAACAGACATAAAATAAGAAGTTATGGGCAAATATTGGTATTTTAAAGACTAAAGGGGAAAAATGTAAACAAATAAACAACATAATTACAAAATAACACATTTTAGGCTAAATTTAGACACAAACTGAGGACAATATTTTCCTGACATTCAGGGTTTATTTAATTGTGTGAAAATGTAGCACGTTTAAAAAAAATACCGCGATAATACCGAAAACCGTGGTAATTTTGGTCACAATAACCGTGAGGTTAAATTTTCACACCGTGATAACCCTAATACAGTTTAGATTAGGTTACATTTCCTTTATTCCCAGATTATGTAGTTTGCAGCACTCATCATAATGTTGTAGAAAATTTCTGGCCAATCCACGTGATCGGTATCGGTGATCGGTATCGGTGATCAGCATTCTTTGATATCGGTATCGTTGATCGGCAGCAAAAAACCTGATCGGTGCATCCCTAGTGATAATGATGAAATTCATCATCAAACAATATGTGGAATTATTTATTTAAAGCTAAATTATACAAAAGTATTATTTAATTCATTCGTATCTTTCATTTATTTAATAGTTAAAATCTTACGTTTTTCACTTTTAAAGCTCAGAATTTAGTTTAATGCAACTGAACTAAATATTCATTTATGACTCAATTGAACATTTTGTCCACGCTAAGCCTAGATTAGAGTATAAAATTTCCCACATGTTTAGTGATGGGCTGTAGCAAGTTCTGCAGTGTACAGATCCTAACACTGCACATAAAGGTAACAAACTGCATGAAGCAGGTTTTTGGGGTTTTGTCCTCACAGAAGAACAAGGGGAACAAATCAATCAACAGGAAAAAACTTCACGATTGAACTTATCAGCTCCAAGAGTTTAGGGAGAGAGAGGAATCGTCTGCTGCAAAAGAAAAGATCAGTAGATGAATAAAGCTAAAGTAAATCAGAGGAATGCTAATTATAGATGCGCAAAAAGAAAAGCAGACAGGAAAACTAAAACAAGGTCAACAAAAACCATGTCACCAATTTTTACACAAATAGGTAAAAAATATACAATATTAGATTAAAAATAATCACAATTAACATAAAACATTCTATAACAGCGTTTCCTAAACTTGAGTTACCTTTTACCAACATCACCTCTGGACTGACTCCACAATAAAGCACACACAGGTTCAGCCTGCTGCGCATTTAAATTCAAATATAAGCATCACTTTTTGCTTTTACACTAAACATTGTAAAATATTCCATACAAATTATTTTTCTGTTTCATTTCGCTTTGATGAAACAAGCAGAGAAATCTGACAATACAAATGGTCTGTATTTGATATAGCGCCTTCTAGAGTCCTGGAACTCCTCAAGGCGCTTTACAACACAATCAGTCATTCACCCATTCACACACACATTCACACACTGGTGGGGATGAGCTACAATGTAGCCACAGCTGCCCTGGGGCGCACTGACAGAGGCGAGGCTGCCGAGCACTGGCGCTACCGGTCCCTCCGACCACCACCAGCAGGCAAGGAGGGTTAAGTGTCTTGCCCAAGGACACAACAGCGACAGACTGAGCGGGACTCGAACCTGCAACCTTCCGATTATGGAGCGAGCACTTAACTCCTGTGCCACCGTCGCCCCAAATTAATAATTTAATTAATAGTATAAATACTATAATAGTATAAAATATAGTGTTATACAAATTAAGACAACACAAATACACTTAACACACACACACACACACACACACACACACACACACACACACACACACACACACACACACGTGCACACACACACACAAAATAAACTCAGATGCAAATTCATTAAATTTGGCGTTTCTAAATAACACCAATTTGTAGAGTGAGGACGATGTCACCCAGAGACGATAAAATTGACTCAATAGGACCATGAGGTGACTGAATCATCCGTTGGATGTTGGAGGAATGCAGGAATGATTATTGTATCGACATAATTTGTCGTTGTTTTGACTTTTCTCAGTCTGGGTATTGCTGTTCCTCTTGTTTCATTGCACGCCTACAGAGAATAACACGTGTGTGTTGCTGTTTGACTTGGTCAGCTCGCTGATCCTATGAGTGGTGGCAGCTTTGTGGTTAGACTGACTAAATTGGATGATGGATGAGTCGCTGTCCAACTGATGGACCACTTTTAAAGTCGATTCTGAAGCTCTATCGACCCGCTGCTGATTGTCTTTTCTCCCTCTTTTTTTGCTGTTACAACACTTTTCCACTACCCATCTCCACCAGTCTGTTTGTCTGGTTTCTTCTCACCCACCACTACCATCCTCTCTCTCCTCTTCCATCTCAATCTCGTTGCCTGTCTCGTGTCCACTCCTCCTCCTCCTCTTCTCTCTATTATCTGTGACCCAGTCTGGCACGTCTCTCCTCCTCTTTGGCCTCTCATGGAGTCATCCTGTCTCACTCTCTCTTGTCATTTCTCTCACAGGCAGTTAATGGAGAACAAAATCACCACAATCGAAAGGGGAGCCTTCCAAGACCTAAAGGAGCTGGAGAGACTGTGAGTCGAGCCGCTTTATTTTTCAGTGTGGTCACTTTATATTTTTAATCAGATGCAATCTGTATCAGAGAGCTTTTCTGGGAACACACTAGTACTGCCCTCGCACTGAATTAGAATTATAAATATATCTATCTATCTATCTATCTATCTATCTATATATATATATATATATATATATATATATATATATATATATATATATATATATATACACACACATATATATATATGTATGTATGTATGTATGTATGTATGTATGGTTTAAACAAAGCAACAACCCCTTTAGATTTAGGCATACATATATATATATATATATATATATATATATATATATGTGTGTGTGTGTGTGTGTGTGTGTGTGTGTGTGTGTGTATATATATTTATATGAATTAAATAATCTGCACAACATCACACAGATGAACGAGTGCTGAAGAGGGTTCTGTAAAAGACAGATTGATAGGCTAATGGCTAGTCACAATTAGGCCTAAATCTAAAGGGGTTGTTGCTTTGTTTAAACAACCTAAATGTTTACTTTAAACTTTTGGTTTAGCCTGACAATTCTTGGTTGGAAAGTTACAATTGTTTTCTAAAATATATTCTGTTGTTTGATTTGGTGACAAGTTTTAACACAATTC